TAAAATATCCATAGGTTTAATAGTAATTTCTAAAATACATATACGCTTCCCCAAATTCCTAAAACCGTAAGATCCCATAATTTTATTTCTAAAATACCCTAAATTTATGTAATCCTATTTCTAAAATACTCTCGAATTATAAGTATTTTTAGGTGGTTTCCTTTTATAGGGAAAATTGAGGATTCCCCAATGAGAAGTGGGTGCCCTACCTTACCATTGGGGACGGGGTGAGGATGGGTGCAGCGAGGGATATCCCATCTCATTGCCATTCCTATGTATGGAGAGCAGGAGAAGGTTTGGATTTTGAAAAATCCATCCTACTACCCGAGCCTATGTACGGTAGACTCCCATTTTTTTTTTTGCTTGTAGTAAAAGAACTACATAGACAATTCAAACCCACCAATTGACCTCATCTCTTCATCTCTAAAATGAAAAGTAGTTCATGTCAACAATGTTCTACACTTATTGGCTCATTAGAAATTCTCTCTCTCTCTCTTAAGATAAAAGTAATCAAAATACATCAGAAACTCAATTCTCATTAATTGCAAAAGACTTTAGGAATTCAATTGTCATTAATTGAAATATCTACAGGGTTACAAGTTTGTATTTATCAAATGAATGAATGACAGAAAAAAAAAAGATTTAGGAAGACTCCTCAATTCATTTTTACTTATTGGAAGGGGGTGTTTGCCAATGTGGGACACGTGTAAACAGAACTAGCATGGTATATCATGGTTGGCCCTGCAACTAAAACTGCAAACTCATCAACTGACCTCATACTTATAGCGAAAGGGTTGCTAATTAGGTTATATAGCAAAATCAAAACACCCACGAGTGCATAGATGATATCCTTGATTGGTCACGTATTGAGGTTATATTAGGATTATTCTTCTAAATCCCAAAAGGTATTAAAAGTGTTTGGGTTTTGAAAAGCAAATTTTACAAACACCCAAAAATACTTTTGACTTTGTTATTCACAGCTCAAAGTTCAAAAGAAAAAGATGAGTGACACAGTATCCAAATTCTCATTGCTTAAGTGTGTCCAAAAAATTATATAGTTTTGCCACATGGAAAGATTATGCTGTTAGTAATTTGGGCTCATTAATTGTTGACCTAGATTGGGAACATCCCCCGTAGGTGAGATATGCATGACTGCATGTGAAGTCGGTGTGAGGCGCCCTGTGTGAGGAGCAGACCCCAATTCCTTTTATTTGTGGTCTTAAATGTTGTACTATAGAAGCTGTCCAGTTGTTTGAAACTTTGAATCATCCAACCTAACCATCTTTTGCTTTTCTAGCTAACAAATTGGTTGGTTTTTATACCATTTATATCTCACCATCATACAAAAAAATTACACTGGTATTATCTATTGCTGATACTTGCCTTTGTCTGATGCCCAAAACTTCAGTCTAACAAGAGAAACACGAGGGCATGAACCCTACGGGGGATTGGGCTTCAATGCTCACAAGAGAAACACTAGAGGTCGACTTCAATGCTCACAAGATTTTGCTCACACTGTTTGTAAAACCTTTTACAGTCGTACATTGGGAATATCATTATGAGAGCTTAACAAAAGTTTTAGTGCATATTGCTAACCTAACACAATCTTCCCTTTATTTAAAATATTTTGAAAAGAAACACTTACGAAACACACACACATTTTGTCACATTTTTTGTTTATCACAACAGTGACAGATCTAGTACTTTTGATTAGCGGCGGCAAGTATGACCATAATATCAACTTAGTCATAACTAGAGCAATTAAAAAAAATAAAAAAGAGAGATTAAAATATTTTCACTCCAACATTTTAAGAGAAATAGTTACATCTCACAGTTGTGGGGAACAACTTTTCATGTTTTTGAAGTGTTGCATAATAAATTGATCATTATCAATGCTATTAAATACATATCTCTCTATACATATATGATTACGTGATCATTCATCCAACGATCTCCTATTCGATTTCATAGTCAACTTTTCACTATTTTGTGAGGTAGTTGTGGCAATAGGTAAAATCAATGTTCAAAATATCAATACATTTGATACGCTGGTATGGGTGTATCAGGCGAATCAGTTTTCATTTTTTATTTTTTATTTTGAAACCGGTTCAGGGGGCCATTTCAGGTCTCCTCCATCCCTTAAACCAGTCAGTCCCCTGATACACCCAATATAGGAATGTATCGGAGGGRTCCCTGAACGATACGTATCAGCCGATACTTTAAACCTTGGGTAAAATAATGTTAATTTCATAAGCAAAAAAACCGATGAATAAAAAAGATTCCTAAGGCTAGTGATCCCTTCAAGTTCAAAAATTCTCAAGTTGATTATCAGGTACCACAAGATCAACTAAAGACAATTCAAACGGATAAAACCAGGCAAGGTAATCAACTTTTGCCTGTTAAAAGTAGAAAAAACATTGCTCGATAAAACAAAACATAACTTCTAATTTGTAAATGACTTCATAACAAATAGCTTAGATAGTATCAAAGCTAGTGCTTATATGCCTTGAAATGCTGAAGTCCAAATGTGAATGTGAAAATCCACAAGGGATTAAAATTGAAAAACAAGGGTTGGGATATGAAAAATGCAAAACCAAGACAAATCGGGTATAGCTTTCTAGCAAATAAAGTTGGGATTAAAGAAAAATAAATCCAAGATAATAGAATACAACTTTCTAGTTTAATGGCTTGCTAGCAAACAAAGTTGGGATTAAAAAAAAAAAAAAAAAATGTTTCTCCTAGATTTTTCCTGATATTCTCAAGCATATAGGGATTTAAATCTTAAATCTTAAAAAGAAAGGAAAAAAAGAAAACATTGTCCATAACACAACAATGGTTAGGGCGATTTTGCATAAACAGAACTAGGGGTTGTAATTTGTAAAAATCAAGAGAGAGATCTCATCAAGTATTTGTTATATCCTTCGAAAATTTTAAAATAAACAAAGATAGAAAGGAATGATTCTACCTGGATTGTTTCCCTAATTTTCTCCTATACAGTCCAACAACTTGCTTCAAGCCTCCAGCTCTAAATTTGAAAAGAGAATATATGGTTTGAATGAACCCTTTTAATTTTAAGGTGTAATGTTTGTGGTATTGGAAAAAAACATAAGGGTATAAGAGGTTTGACAATCTCATTATTTGAGTTTTAGATTTTAAGTATGTCTTGGGACATGAGTGTCATTATTTGACCCCTTACTCATTACTAAAATAAATAACTAAATAAATTTATCCTTACTATTTTAAACTTCAGTCGAGTAATTGTCCATATTGATATATACATAGATCCACCTATACAATAACCAAAAGTTTAATGGCACCATGTAATGTCAATATTTGCAAACAATGGTTTTTCAAATATTTTAACCTTTAAATCCAATCAATGAGTTAAGTATTGTTGTAAGAAATACAGTAAAAATATTTCAAAATATAAAATATTTTCCCATTTTTTCTACATTTTTATTTGTATTTAATAAGTTGCAACATGCGTGGCATGTGACATTGGCGTGTCACTTTGACTCTGCATCAGCAACCATTTCAATCTTGCTTAGCAGTTGCCCTACAACTCCATTTAAGTCTGAAAGAGGATTAATACAAGGGTCTCCCTTATACCCTACCTGTTTATAATTTACTCAGATATAGCAGAGATCAAATCAGCCCCCCACAAACATATTCGCTGTGTATTGGGAATATCACCCAATGATAATATCAGAAATGATGATATCATCAGAAGATGTTTTTAATACACGGCGAGGATGTACTGTAGAATGTTTGTGGGGGTCTGATTCGAAGTCGATATAGCCAAGCTAATTGGAAGATTGGTAAAGAAGAAATCAAAATTAAGGTGTAAAGGTGGGCATATAGGAATCAAAATTAAGTATAATATGGCCCTGTTGGCAAAATTTAGTTAGAGGTTTCCTATTGATCCTGATTTGTTGTGGGTTTAGGCCCTAAAAGCCCAGTATCTGAGAGGTCGCTACTCATGGGATGTGAAACCCAGTAATAAGGTCTTTTGGTTTGGAAAAGCCTACTATTGGGGAAGGGGTGTATTGAAAAATGGGACCCATTAGGTGGTTGGCAAGTTGAGGTGGTCCACTTGGACCGGTTATAGATTGGGGTGAGCATGGGTTGGTTCAGTTCGGTTTCAAGGTAGAAACAGAAACTTATTCTATAGGGCTTGGTTTCAGGTTTTTGGAATCAGAACCTATCATATCAAGACAGTTTCAGGGTCGGTTTTGGTCTTGGTGTTCTAGGTTCTACCCGTAAAACTTATTCTTTCTTTTTCTTTTTTGATAATTAGAAACCTGTTATTTTTTTTATTACTCCCAACTCCCAAAAATAAAAAAGCTACTATTCTTTAAAATTTGGTTTTCAACAATAATAATATAGAGTTCAAAACGTGTACCTTTATTGATTAGATTGAGTAATTTAGCCTATATATTATCATATCATAATATATTAATACACAGTTCAAATTTATTATTATAATTTAAATTTTGTAAATTTAATCTTTCACATTATTTATTATACACATTCAAATATTAAATTAAAAAAATGATTAAATCACTTAAGTGAATAATTAAAAATTGATGCATTTGAGTTGAATTTATACTTAAGTTGGGCTTGAATTGGTCAATTAGCTCACAGTAAAAGGTAAAAATTATAAATACATGAATAATGATATCAAATATGAATTTATACATGTACGTATTTATCTGTATAATTGGGTCAGACTCAAATTGGATTAGGGTTGGGATAAGGTCGAACCGAGCTCAAACTACCGAAGGCGAACGGTTACTCGGTTAGGCTGGGGTTCAGTACAAAAAGCCTAAAAAATAAGAAAACCTGAACTTTTGACCCAGGCCCAGGCTGAGGGCAAACATCTAAGCCCAGCCCATGTAGAATTGAAAGGCTGAACCGGTCCGGGCTTGGTTGGACCCGCCCAAGTTTGCATCCTTACGAAAAGCCCTTAAAGCCTTTCCTATATCGAAAAACCGGGAGGGAAAATACCCTCTCTCTCTGTGGGATTCCTAAGATGAGCAGCAGAACCAGGAATTTCCGTCGGCGCACCGATGACGATGACGATGCCAATGGAGAAGACACCACCGTGGCAACCACCACCACCACCACGGCCAAACCATCTTCGAAGGATGCCGCCGCCAAGCCCAAGAAGCAGCACCAAGGYCCCAAGCTACTCAGCTTCGCCGACGATGAAGACGATTCCCCAGTTCGTCCTTCCTCAAAACACTCCTCCTCCGATAGAGAGAAGTCTCGCTTCAGCAAGTCATCCTCTTCGTCTCACAAGATGATTGCCTTGAAGGACCGTCTCTCCTCCTCCTCCACATCTTCTTCTTCTCTTCCCTCCAATGTTCAACCTCAAGCTGGTGAATACACCAAAGAGAAACTCCGAGAACTTCAGAAGAACACGCGCACTCTCGCCAGCTCCCGACCCCCTCCATCCGAGCCGAAACCTCCCGCTGAGCCCGTCATAGTCTTAAAAGGCCTTGTTAAGCCTGTATCCGCTGAAGTCGATAAGCAAATTGGAGAAAACAGGAGGGGAGATGATGAATTAGAAGAAGAAGAAGAAGAAGAAGAAGAAGAAGAAGAAGAACAAGTGAGAGATAGAAGCGGGGCTTCCTTCAAGAGGGACAAGGATGACGCTGAGAACCGGCTAGCTTCAATGGGTATTGGAAAATCTAGGGATTCTTCCAGTTCTTTGATTCCTGATCAAGCTACCATTGCCGCAATTAGGGCTAAAAGAGAACGGCTCCGGCAATCACGTGCAGCAGCGCCTGATTTTATCTCTTTGGATGGAGGTAGTAACCACGGGACGGCTGAGGGATTGAGTGACGAGGAGCCTGAATTTCAAGGTCGGATTGCGATGCTTGGTGACAGGGCAAATGGTGCAAAAATGGGTGTTTTTGAGAGTATAGACGCGAGAGCAATGGGGCCCGATTTAAAGAATGATGGGGAGTTTGTGGTGGAGGATGATGAAGATGAGGAGGAGAAGATTTGGGAAGAAGAACAGTTTAGGAAGGGATTGGGGAAAAGGGTAGATGATGGTTCAAGTAGGGCTAACATTAACGTTCCGGTGGTTCAAAGTCTTCAGACTGTCCAGCAACAGGCATTTGCTTACGCGGCGCCTGTGTACCCGCAGGCACCAGCTGCATCTGTTGGTCCGAGCATTGGAGGGGCATTTGGAGTTTCACGGAGTGTGGAAGTGATRTCCATAGCTCAGCAGGCTGAGGTTGCTAGCCAAGCTCTGAAAGAGAGTGTTAGGAGACTTAAGGTATGTTTTCTGTTATTCTGATCAAGTTTCATATTGAAATATCAATTTGAAATTGAAATATACATTGCTGGGTCATTGGCTAAAGTAATTAGGACAATGGAAAAGTTTTGACACCTCGAACTTAAGCAAAAATTAGTTTTATTTAAGTAAAAGAGAAGAAACTTTTATTAAAAACAAAATTACTGAAGTACAAGCGATGGATGGGGTTACATAACATAACCAATAAAAATACATAACAACATTTCATTGCAAGCGAGATTCTGATCTGGTCTCCAATGCAAAGCAGATAAAAATTGTCTTGGTTGACACATGCAAGTTCTTGGTGAACTAGAATCCAATCTATAATTATATTTCCTATTTGTGAACATATTTTGTCCTTTCTCATTTGGGTTCCTTTGAATATTCTTGTAGTTCTTTTGTTCCAAATACTCAACAAATCACAATTTGAATACAGCTCCAGTAGATTTTAGCCTTCCTGCTACCTTGAAATTCTGGTCAAAGATAAACAATCTATCCTGGAGATCTTGGCTGCCAATCACCTTTTCTAAATGAGCGACATGAAGAATCTCCAAATAAATTTGGAGAAACCATAGGATATGAACAGATGATCAACATCTTCCTTACAGAAGCATAAATAGCAAATGCTAGCCATTTGAATTTCTCTCTTCAGTAAGCGCACTGCCCATCAATACTAACCATATAAATGCTTCCAACCATTTTTTTTTATCAGTAAAATGCTTCCAACCTAGGTGGAATGAGATTCTCTCAAATCCCTCTAATTTCAGATCTGTCTACCTCATTACAAATAAGAGCACTGTGGCAGGACTTGACTGTGAATTGCCCATTTTTGCACTCTTTCCACTGTTTTGCATCAGCCTCATTTGTTGTCTGGAGAGGCAATCTTATTTTCAAGTTTGTTGAGTAAATTCAAACATTCATCATTCTTTCTATCCAATGTCGGCATTCTAAATCCAGGGCATCATGCCAATTTCTCATTTTTGACTCCAAAGCATTGGTTGATACTTGATAGTGATATCTTTGTCACTCAACCTATTAAGTCTCAGGCACAACACAGCTTACAAAAAAGCCAACACCACACTAATTATCTTCCCAAGAACCCTATCCAGCTTTAAACTTTGTCAGGTTCAAGAAAGCTTGCTGAAATCGCATAATGCCTTTCCAAAAAGAAACTCCTTATGTCAATGTTACCTCCCTTTTGCTGATAAAATAACTCCATAATAAATCYTACCTTTGCTGATAAAAAAATTGTCACCTCTCTTTTGTCCCATTTGAATCTAGCCATTCCATACTTGAAAGAATGGGAATCTCTGGAGCTGAGAATTAGGGTTTTAAAGCATACAATGCCGAAAATTTACAACATTCCATCCTTGAGGTTGTTCCATTCCTTTTTTTTTTGAGAGAGAAAAGGTAAGGTACTTCATTAATGCAAACTGAAAAGGATACAACCTTGCCCAATGAGGCACTGGGAAAGACAGAAAGACACTTTGTACATCCCAAAAAACCACTATGTGAACATCATACAAAAAGAATACTGTGCTCAAAAAAAGAGCTGTAAGGACGCTTCTTGAACAATTTGTGAGTCGCCACCCAAGAGTATAACATTCCCCAAATGCTCTTTAAGATTTCCTCCTCTGACCTAAATTGTCTTCAAAAAGCCTCCTATTTCTTTCTGACCAGATTGACCACACTACAACCGCTGGCAACACCTTCCATACAATCTTACCTCTCCTCGACAAACCCCTCAGACCCTAGCCATGTAACAGTTCCAATACATCCCTTGGGAGGCACAACTGAGCTCCAAAAACCTTTAGTACTTTCATCCATATTTCCCAACTGGATCTGCAGTGCAGAAAGAGATGCTCCAGCTTCTCAGAATTGTTACCGCATAGAACACATCTGCTGGGTTCTACCAACCATCCTTTCTTTGACAGATTATCAGCTGTTAGGACCTCCCTAAAGCTGGCAGCCACAAACAAAAAGAGACTTTTTAGAGGAGCCGCGGTCCTCCATACCATGTGAACTTCTCTTCCAAAAATTCCATCTGGATGTATCCTTATAGCTGTTAGGCACCACCATTTATCCAAGAGGGAAGTCTTCACTTATTTCAGATTTCTGATTCCCAATCCACCATTCTTCCTAAAAGAACAAACTGTGGCCCAATCAATCAAGTGGTATTTGAATTCATTATTTATTAATACTTATAAACAGAAGTTACAGATTTACATGAAGGTTGGAATGCCTGGAATGGGTGACAGACAGATCACCTCACCTGCAATCAATTAACACATTACAACGGAACCAGCATAATCTTTCCCTACTTATACCCTGTTTTTCTGATGTATCAGCCAATCCCTTGAATGATCTTTTAACCCAGCCGAGATTAGAATTTAGGTCCATTTCCAGCTGTCTGATTCCCCTTATGTAGTTCTTATTATTGTCAAAGTCCTTTATTGTTTTTTGCCATCTAGTCTACCACTATCTTAGAATCACCTTCCATGACAATGTTCGTTACTCAACCACTTGCATGTTCTTACTCTAGTGCAGCCAACAGTTCTGCTTTCATGGAATCTCCTTCCCCCTTCCAAAGCCTGTCAACCCCAAATTTCCTGAACACCATCCTTCCAGCCTACCCCTAGGAAATTACTTTCCATGTTTTCCAACATTGTGCAACTTCCAATGGAATGGGGAATAATGAAAGAAAATGAGAGGCAGATTGGACAAAAACACGTCTGATGAGAGTAAATTTACCTCCTTTAGAGAGGTGCCTTGCTTTCCAGTTTCCAGGATGCAAGCCACTTCTCCATTTGTTCAATCTTAAATGATGGGCTCCCAAATGGTTATTGATGTGCATTTGGTGCCTAGAGGTAGGGGCATCATTGAACAAATGGAGAATGAGCTAGCATCTTGGTCTACAACCATAGTTTCATGTTTTTAATATTTATTTGAGGCCTATGGATGATCCAAGGCCAGCAGGTATTGAGGAGGGGGGTTTTTAGAGACTCCTTACGAAGGGTGGGTAGCTATGTATTCAGGACTTATTGGAGTGGGAGATTCCCTGAAAGCTGAGTTGATGGCTTTACTGCAAGGCCTAAGACTAGCAAGGCAATAAGAGTTTTGAAATCTGAAAGTAGACGGGGACTCAAAGTTAATCATAATTTGGCCAAAAGGCCTATGCCAAGCCCCTTGGATTTATATGCATGTCTTCAAGGAGATTGCTTGCTTATCAAGGGAGAGTTAAAACACTTCTTACTTATGGGTCAGAAGATCTGCAAATGGGATGGTGGATTCACCAGCAAAACAAGGGGTTAATAGACATTGATTATTTTGGGTGCTAATGTAAATCTTTTGTATTTGGGTGGGTGTAATATCTCAATCATATATACTAAAATTCTTTCTTTGAATTAATAAAACTTTCTTCTTTTTTGATAAAAAAAGATTTTTTTGAGGCCTGGCATAGCTTTGAACCATCTAAGGGAAGGGGTGCATTGGAGAAAGAGTGCCTACTGTTGGGAATCATGTTATGGTCCCACGCGTAGGATCCCGTCACGGGCCGGTCCACGGTGCGAATGCCCTGCCTTCCCTTGCGTGCAGACCTTATTGCGGGACTGAATGGGTGATTTGTCCAAGAAACCACCCGAACTCTCCTCACTCTTTCAATTCGTAGCTCCTTAAATAGGAGATTACAGAAGAGAACTCCTTGTTGGATTCGGCTAGGCTAGGGTAATCCAACTTAAACTAAAACTCCTAATTACCTACTCCTAATGGTAACACAACTCCTACTTAAGAAGATAAAATAAGACAAGGATAAGGGATAGGGATAAGATAAGGATAAGGTAAGCTGGTAGCGAGTTGGCTTGACGTGTCCAGATAAGGGTGGGCCCACCCCTATGAGCTGTCGTGTGGGCCTCGCTCTGCTGCTGCTGCTGGGTGCGTGCGCGCGGCTCATGGTGCCGCTGCCGTGCGGTGCCGGGTGTGTGCGCGGTGCGTGCTGCTGTGCAGTGCGTGCGGTGCACGCTGCTGCCTGGCGGTGCGTGCTGCGCGCCATGGTGCCGCTGTCGTGCGGTGCCGGGTAAGTGCGCGGTGCATGCCGCCGTGCGGTGCGCGTTGCGCACTATCGGTGCGTGCTGCGGTGCGGCGCTGCCAGGCGGTGCCTGCTGCTGTGCGGCCTGCCGTGCGTGCTGTTGCCTATGACTGCTCTGCAGTGCGCTGCCGGATGGTGTGCCCATAACAAATCACTATAGAAAAAGACCGTGTTGTTTGCAAACTTTAAGAGAGGAATGGCTACTCTGCTCTTTCTTGCAATGAATCTCTCAATGTAACGCCCTGCAGTTGTCTTTGCTGTGAACCGCCTAAGGGCCTCCACTACATAAATAAAAGGGGTGGTAGTGATTGCCCTTGTGGAGCACCTAAAGGTATTCAGGGGATGTGCTGTTGATTAAAGTTGAGTAATGTGGCACCTCAGTGTAGATTGTGATCCAATTTATCCATCCTTAGTTGAACTTCACTCTTTTAGGAATGTACTGAAGAAAATCCCAATTGACATGATCAAAAGCTTTTTCCATGTCAACTTTACAGATGATTTCAGGTAATCTCCTCTTTTAGTTTTTTTTTAATGAGTAATCTCCTCTTTTGTTGTGAGCCTATTAACTTATTTGCTACAAGAATTCTATCCGATATTTTGCATACTTTCACAAATTCACCTTGGTTTCTTGAGATGATTGACTGCTGGACTTTCTTAGATCTGCTTGCCAATTCTGACTATAATTTTATAGACACTGGTTGTGGGACCTATAGGCATATAGTTTTTAAGCTTAGTCGCTCTTTTATTTAGCACCAGACCAAAGATATAAGAGTGTCATTGAGACTCCTCTTTAAGTTTGTTGAAGCATGGCAATTCTACAAACGCTGAGTAGATAACTTGATTATTCTCTAGCACTTCTTGTAAAAAGCTAATTTGAAGCCATCGGGCCTTGGGGCTT